AAATAAATAAATTCTTTAATGAATAATTTTACTTAAATATTTCGAAACTAATTCAATTTCAAAAGAGTTGCGTTTACAATTTTCATTATGTAAATTAATTTCAAACGGTTTCAAATTGAAATTTTCGAAAATTTCAATGTTGAATGAATTTAAAAAAATTCTAAATTAAAAATAATGAACATAAGTAGATTTTTGAAGAACTTTGATAATTCAAAATCATCTAAAATTAGGTAAATTTTTGTCAATATATGTTTAATTAATTATTAAAAATAATTGATTGAAAGAAGAATTTTAATTAAAAACACTTAAAAAAATTGAATTTTGAAGAAGTTACAAATAAAGAAATTCAATTATATTTCAAAAGTGATAAAATTCTTATCACAAAATTCAATTATGTTCAAAATTTACAAGAAATTCTCGACAAAATCCCTATTATTATATTTAAAAACAAAAAAAAATTCTTCTTCAAAATTCAATTAATTTCAAAACTTTGAATAAAACTCTTGTCAAAATTTCAATTATTTTCAAAAACAAAATGCATTTTTCTAATTTCAATAATTTTTAATATCCACTATTGTCATAAAATTATCCAAAAGAATTCAATTATTAAAAAACAATTTTAATAAAATTGTACGCAAACATTTAAATATTTTCATAAATAATAAAAATTTCACAGAAATTCAAATATTTACAAATTTTTTATAAGTTTCTTCTCAGTAATTCAATTATTTTCAGAAATAATAAAACTCAACGCGGAATTTCAATTATTTTTAATACAATTTTAATCAAATTTCTTGAAATTTCTTGAAAAATGTAACTATAAAAATTTTTATTCAAATTCGTCAAAAGAATTCAATTATTTAAAAATTTGTTAATAAAATTCTTTATAAGAATTAAATTTAAAGAATCATTCAATTATTCAATAAATAATTTACTTTTGTATTTAAATAAATGAATTCTCGTAGAATTTTCTAATAAAAATTGAATCAAAAATGAATTTTAGTTAAAATTTTAGATAATTAAAAATGAAGATAATTTTTAAAAAGTTATAGTAACAATATTCTTATAATATAAAATAATGATTTTAACACTCGATCCTCTTTAATTATTATAAGTTGTTTAATTTCAAAAATTTTTGAATTTGGAATTTTTGAAAATCTTAATTCCTATGGAAAAATAATAATAATAATTAAATATTTAAAATATTTAAAAAAGAAATGATTTTTTTTGAATAATTTTACAATTAAAGATATTCGTAAATAATAAAAATTTCCCAGGAATTCAAATATTTACAAATTTTTTATAAGTTTCTTCTCAGTAAGTCAATTATTTTCAGAAATAATAAAACTCAACACAGAATTTCAATTATTTAAAAAATTTGTTAATACAATTATTTATAAGAATTAAATTTTAAGAAACATTCAATTATTCAATTTACTTTTGTATTTAAATAATTGAATTCTCATAGAATTTGCTAATAAAAATTGAATTAAAAATTAATTTAAGTTAAAATTTTAGATAATTGAATATGAAGATAATTTTGACAAAGTTACAGTAACAATATTCTTATAATATATTAATGATTTTAACACTCGATCATCCTCTTTAATTATTATAAAACATGAAGAAATCGATCACATCGTTTTCTTTATGTTTTATAACAATATTTTTAAAGTTGATTAATTTGAAAAAGGTTTGAATTTCAAATTTTTTAATATCCTTATTTCCTCTATGGAATGGAAGGAAAAATAATAATAATTAAATATTTAAAATATTTAAAAATTAAATTATTGTTTTTGAATAATTTTACAATTAAAGATATTCGTAAATAAATTTAACAGAACATTTTTTTCAATAAAATTTTTTCCTTTATTTTCTAAAAATTCAAAAATTTTCAGTTTCACATTCAATTAAATTTTCTAATTGACAAATATAATTTATAAACATTTTTTTCCTTTATTTTTAAAAAACTTTCAATTTTATTAAAACAATTGAAATTAAGAAATAGAATTGATGCAAATTATTTCCTTATGAAAATTGAGAATTTTTTACAAAAATATTAAGAGACGGGAATATTTAATGTTTTACTTTCCAAAAGAAACAAATGAGTTTGTAAACAATATTTTTATTGAGAAATAAAAATTATGCATAAAATGGGTATATTTCCTTCTTCTTAATCAAAATTTTTTAACAATTAATTTTCTAGTATTTTTTATAAATAAGAAGAAGAATAATTATAATTTATATCAGTCAAACGAAATTTGTTACAGAAAAAGCATATAACAAACAAAATGGTTATATTTTTTATTTGTTAATCATAATTTTTTGTAAATTTTCTAATTTGTAATATTATTTCATTATAAATCATGAAAAACTACCTGCATATTTTCGATTTGTCATACAATATTTTTTAAAGATAAAAAAAGCATACACAGAAACTAACTTCAAACTGCGGAGAGCGGACAGAATGAATGAAAGAATACGGAGATTAATATATGTGACGCGACACGAAAAAAGGGATGACCTATTGCTAATAAAATTGATTAATAGTCTAAATTTTAAGAAGAATTCAAAAAAAAAATTCAAAATCGAAATGAAAATTATTATCCCCAGATTAAATTAAAAGACACGGTCTCGACGATACTCGATCGATATACGATACTTTTTAAAAAAAAAAAACCTCTAATAGACGTTCACTAATGGAACTTGAAACTTGGACGAAGATTACGACCTCGTTCTGTTGACAATCTGACAACGATGAAATCCGACAAGTGAGAAAATCAGTAGAGAAAGAAAGGTTCAATAAAGAAAAAAAAAAGATGAAGAGAGAAAGTGCACATGAGACACGAGAGAGGGTGTGAGAGCTTTTCTTAGACGTGTTCGTGTGGTCTAACGTTCGGGGAATTAGAGGATTAGAGATTTAAGTCCTCTCTTCTCTCTGCGGCTTATACATACATAGGTTTACACATACCCTGAGATAACTGAACGTCCAGTGAGTGAACTTTCCTAAGTAAAGAGAGAAATGAAATGAAGGACAAAAACACAAATGGGTGTGAAGAAGTAGCTCGTCTCAACATTGACGGTAATAGCTGCTCAACCAATATCGCGAGCACATCAGTATCACACAATCTTTTATCCAATTTTGTGCTCAATCAGACTCTACCAAGAGAAGAAAAACGTACCTAATCCATAATCGATCAAAAAGATAAAAAGTTTCATAGGAAAGAATAACCCATTTCAATCTTTGACAAAGAAATGTATCCGCACTCTGGGATTTACGTTAATGAATTTCGTTTTATCATTGAAAAATAGAATAATAGGAAGCTTCTCCATTATTACATTTTATTATATATATTATTCTGTAATTAAAAATTACGATAATTATTTATACGAGTTTATAATTTCTAAAGAACGAAATCGTGAAAAAACAATTTTTTGTTTGAAAACAGCACACACCGGATAGCATCTAAATTGAGAGCATTGTGCTCCAAATATAAACTGTACAGTAAAAGCTTTCCGGTTCAGCCCTAAATGTTTATTTCGAACTCTCCCGTCTACTCATGAAGGGGGAAAAAAAAGGAAAGTAAAATAATTAAGCTGCATTCCTTTCTCCAAATGGGAAGGGAGAATGGAGGAGAAAATTGTTTCCTCAATGCCTAAAAAAGAAGCGTTTTACGAATTTCAGTTGGTAATGTAATTTTTCATTAATAAGTAAATCAGTCTCTAATTAGAGACTTCGCGATAGGCAAATTCCTCGTAAGTGGAGTCGAGCTTAAATGTTCCCATTAGCCGCGGCGGTTTTGCGAAACTATAAATAAGCAATCCAGCTGAAAGTCATTACCGGAAGTGCCCTCAGTGATGTCCTCTCCTCCTATTTTCAACTTCGACCCCTCCCACACCACCTTCACTCTGCTTGCTAAACTAATTAAATGATTCATCTCGAGTTAAATGCATTACCAGCAGCGACATTTCCGAGACGACCTTGAAATAATTATCACACTGCGCATTACAATTGCAAATTAAATATGACAAATTGCTGGAATGTTTTATATAATGTGTGCTTCAAACAAGTTTTTAATATTTAATTATTTACATGCTACAAATCTGCTCTTCGTATAAATTTATAAACTAAATTTACGTTTCGCTAAAATTTATTAACAAAACTTAATTTTTATTATGTGAATTAAAAGAAAAAACAGAAAGAAGTTTTTTAATCTGAATAAGAAAAGGATATGAAATGTCTATCCCATACAGTTGAATCGTGACTAAAAGAATGTTAATGATAATTTGAAGCAACTTGGTAATAAGAATTCAAATGGTACTAAAGGCGTAACTTGAGAAAGTGGAAGGAGCGCGGAGAGAAGTTGCTCTTGTATATGAGAGTATCAGACCTCGCCACTCGAAACAATGGACATTACGCTAGGTTGCCAGGCACATTTAATTATGCGCTTTGATGCGTGCAAGGATTGCACTTACTGAAGGTCGGAATGGCAACATTGCCTGTGTGCCGAAAGGGAACCATCTCGGTCGACTTCTCTCTCTCTCTCTTTCTCTCTTTACTGCTGACGCTCTTCCTAAATCGTGTCACGTAACGTGGTTCGTTTTTTGTAAAGAGCGGAAGAAGCAGCCAAAGGGGTTTACCATTTTGCTTTTCGCGAGAGATCGAAGCTTCTCGCGCATGAAGAGAAACTTTTATTACTTCTATTTTTCACTCGTTCGTGAAACGTCCACCGACTTGAAATTACGTCCTCTCGTCGAAGCGTCTCTCCGAGAGACTGCCTTGCATTAACAACCACACATTTTTTTTTCCCCAATAATTATCTGAATTGGAAAAAGTGATCCAATAAACATTTTATCCCTTTAGAGTAATTAATAAAAGAGTATAATTGATTCCCAGTATTTCTACTAAATAATTTTCACAACAAGTTAATTAAGCAAAATGATAACAGTTTAAATGTTAAATGATTTAAATAAAGTAAAACAATTTTTCCGTGTTTCAGGATGTCGATCTACTCGAAGGAACAATTCCAGAGGATACAATGGAGGTCGAAGTGTCACACTGTCGTGAATTAAGAATTCAAACCGGAGCCTTTACTGGCGGTACACAATTGAAGCGTGTCCACGTTTCGGGAATTTACACAGTTGTTGCCAATCGACAGGCATTTCAAAATTTATCAGCTCCAAATCCATTATTGGAAGTATCGGAATGTAATCGAGTGATACTCGAGAGTCATGCTTTCAAAAATACGAAGGGTCCCCTAAGCGTTTCCATTTCCAGATGTCGACACGTCACAATAAAGCCCAGTGCATTTTCCTGGCTTCTACAAATTACCGTCCGTGAAGTTCCCAATTTGGAACTCTCCAGCAACGCCTTTAAATTCGAGACACCACAACATGGACGTCATGGACCAGCGACCAAGGTGCGTTTTCCTCATTACAGTAATTATACACTACGAACAGGTGGAAATTTTTTCTTCCCCAAAAAACAGGTGGTAGATTATTTTAAAATGATAGGCTAACAAACCGGTTTTTGGCTGTAAACGCAAGCAGAACCGATGAATGTTTTCTTTTATCCTTAGTAAGAAAGCGCTATTGCAACTCGCAATAAAAATTAAGAATATTATTCTAATTTGTCCTTTTTTTTCTCTGTGCAGATTATGTTCCATAGTGTAAAAATTCCAGAACTGCCAACGGCAGTGTTTCCATCGACAGCTGCAGAAGTTCGCATGGACGATATTTGGACGAAAGTAATACGCAAAGATGCATTCTGTTCGATGAACATTCTCAGTGTTATTATCAGTAATGCTTCAATATTTGAAATTGAAACTGGAGCGTTCAATGAGCGAACGTTAATTCACAGTTTAGAATTTGTTGATGTGAGACTAAAGACCATTCGATCTGGAGCCCTTAGGGCCGGAGCTAATAATCTAACCATTCAGTATTCAAGGTTTGTATTCCAATTCGTAATGTCTATTCAATCAATTTTATCCTTTGGGATTATGTAATTTTTTAAAAAGATTCTCTAAATAATTGTGTTAAAAAATAAAAATTTCTTTACAGACTGACGGAGGTGGAGAAGGGAGCTATCGATATTTCCGTAGCGACGGTGACATTCAACAACAACGAGTTCCAAAATCTTCGTCAAGGAGCAATTATTTTTCATCAATGGAATCGATTGGCGATTGATTACAACATGTTTGATTATCTCGAAGCGGACGCGATATCAGCACGAACTGATGCGACATCAGTATCGAATTATGAATTCTCCTTCTTTGAAAATCGTCTCTCGACAGTGAAACCAGGAGCTTTAGCTTTTACCAAAATCTCACAGAAATTAAACGCAGCCCGAGTGAGTAACAATTACTTCAAGGAGACTTGCAACTGCAATATGGAGTCCTGGGTCCGAAAATTAGTCACCGGTAATAGCTCCATCGCCTGGATGATGGATACGAGTTACTGTCTTGTGGATAAAGTCCTTCGCAATTGTTTTAATCTGCCAGAAGGGAATCTAGGCATGAAGAATTATACAAAAACCATATGCTCCAAGGGTTTTCGGATCAATTGCACTAATCCGCTGACAAAGCTAGAACCAAGTCCCAGTCCCCCGAGTGTTGGTCCCCACATCTATCCGCGACAACGTGGATACTTTGATGTCGAAATGAGTGATCCCGATCAGCTGGAGAGGGAAAAGCGGATTATAGTGATCGCGTGCGTTATCGCCGTGTTCTCCGTATTAGTAGTGATCCTAACCTCAGGCATTCTCTACATGAGACGACGAGGAGTGTGTCCAAAGTTAACATCAAACTCTTTGACGAATTTCGCCAATTCCTGGTTCTCACCAACGAGTGGAATGACTGCTGCAACGTCCGCACGGTCAATCTCCCGTTTGAGTGTACATGAATACGCGGGTCTACAAACAGAGACGAGAATTTTGGAAATCGAAACCCAGGTACCGGTTGAAGAGGAAGAAGGCGCTTACGCGTACATGGAGAACAAGGCGACGCAAACCCTCCCCGAAGAACTCACGGCCGAGAACTTGCAAAATCTCAAGGACCGTCTGAACGATCCGGATAATTACGGAGAAGCAAGGGACATGATCGAGCATCTTTACGACCTTGTCAAGATCGAAGAAAGTTGTAATAATAACAACAACGAGGGACGCTTTTCCCCCAATTTGGAAGAAGACAATGCTTATGATATCATCATACCCAAATCGAGAAAAATCAAGATCATTCCCAAGCCAACCGCAACTATTGGAACAAAAATTCCCTCCCTCGAGAAACTATTGCCAATCACAATTCGCACAAGACCGCAAATTGTCGAGTACGCCGAGCCACGCGATCATCGAATCAACGATCAAAATCATCTATACGCAGAACTGCCGGGCGATGAGACTGTACCCAGCACCAGTAGACTCGCATCCCGAGCACCACAGCCCCTCCCACCGGATGTTGTCAATGATCATATCATCAGCGAGAACTACAGGTTCTCCGATACCAAAGACGATGATGATAGAATGGAGAAGTCCCGCAATCAATTGGCAAAAGCTAATTTTTTCAAAAGTCTAGGCGAAAGTATTCTTGGATCGACGAAAATTAACGGCATGAGGCCGAATTCATTGCTCTGCGAGTACGCCGAACCAACAGACGCAACGGCGCATCTTTATTCCGAATTGTCGGACAATCAGAGTACGATGCCAATTAGCAAAATGGCAAATCGACCTTTACCTACGAAACCGGATCAGCCCGTAAGTGCGAATCAAGGATGACAGTCCCGCCATTTAAAGGCGTGACCGCGATCCGCAGCTTGTCTGTGATATTGTGATTTGTGACTTTTTTTAATCTTGTATTTTTTATAACTATATAAATATGATTATCGCGGAGGGAGCTTCTCAGACTTTTCTAATTCAAGTGCCACACAATTTACTTGTGAGTTAAGACATTATTATTATTGATGAATGTTGAAAATTACACGCTTCGAAAACTATTTTGTGTGTATGAATGTCTGATTTGTGATATTATGCAAAGAAACAAAAAAATAACAAACGAAAGAATTTGGAAAAAATTTTCGAAGAATGTTGCGCAATTTTTTATGGCATACGAAATTTTTCACTTGCTGAAGCTGTGAATTCATTTCTTGCTGAGCGAAAATGTTTTTTTTAAAAAGTCTTAATAATTATATTGTAAATATTGAATTTCTTAAATGAAAAAAAAATTTTAAATTTCTTTAACATGAATTTAAAGAATATATTTTTAAGAGGGATAAATTCTCAAAAAGATTATACATATTTTCAAGACCAATGTATTTTTAAAGAAGAAAGTACTTTCTAAAAGAATAAATTACTGAGAATAAAATTTAGAATACTGATTATTTAAAATAATTATATCTAAAGAAGAATATTGGTATTTTTTAAAAATTGCACATTTTGAAGAAATGAGTAAGAAAAGTATATAGAAAAGTACTTCAACCTGAAAAAAAATGTATTTGAGATAAAATATATTTTTAAGAAAAATACATTTGAAAATGCATATAGTTTTAAGAATAAAATGAGAAAATAAAAAGACGAATGAAATAATTCTTGAAAAGAGTTGATACATTTTTGAAAAGGAGTATTTTTAGAAAAAAATATATCGCGCTTGTTTACGGTTTAGAAGAAGTTCATAGCTTCAAACATTCTTCCAATTTGGCAAATCACAACAGTGATATGACTGAATTTTTTTTATGTTAAAAAGTGTCCTTTCAATATGATACTTTATATATTTATAGTTGATGAATGTAATATAATATATGCACATACTTACCTCAACAAAATATAATTAAAGTATTACAACGAATTTTATTAAAACTCTATCGACGAAAGATGAAAAAAAAGCGTTTTTTTTTCTTGAATTTGTTTCTTTCTCTAATAACATTTATTCCCACTGTGATCCTCTTTTGCCTTGTGAATTGTTTTTTCATTATTATCATTGCTCACGAAAAGTAAGATTCGTTTTGTCAACTTTCTTTGACATATATATTATGCATATTTTCTTTGTGACATCCGAACGGGGGTGCAGATAGAATTGCTCATTTTGGTGTGTCACCCGTTGAGAAAGATATTCTTGTTCTCTTATGGCGCAGAGTTGGCGAGACCGAACTATTTCTCTGAAGAATGTAAGTCAGGAGCAAATGAAGTCGACGGGGTCTGGATTGCAGCTGTTGACGGTTCAACAGGCCAACGTTTGCCTGTCGCTTTTCAACAGAAGGAGAAAGATAGAGAGAGAGAGAGAGAGAGAGAGAGAGAGAGAGAGAGAGAGAGAGAGAGAGAGAGAGAGAGAGAGAGAGAGAGAGAGAGAGAGAGAGAGAAAGAGAGACTAAAGTACAAGGGAAAATTATGCATTCACTTTTCACATCCCCGAATGAGAACTTTCAAGAGAAATAAATGTTTTACAACGTTTAACTATTCAGTTTAAACTGTTTTCTACATTGCGTTTCTTATTTTCAATTAAATTTACTTCCTTTGTTTATTGAATAAGGTAAACTTATATTTTAATTAACATATTTTCAACGCACATTTTTATTAATTTAAAATAAATGAAATTAATAGTAAACAGAATATATGGAAATTTATGTTTACTGCGATGAAGGTTTGCTCATCTGCTCTCATGTAGTTCTATCTTGAAACTTTAATTATTTTGTCTAGTAATTATAAACAAATTTCCTTTTTTTTACAGTAAGACGAAAGTAAACTGAATTTCATAAATAATAAAAATTTTACAGCATTTTAAATATTTACAAATTTTTTATAACTTTCTTCTCAATGAATAATTCAATTATTTTCAGAAATAAATAAAACTCATCGCAGAATTTCAATTATTTTTAATACATAATTTTAATCGAATTCTATGAAAAATGCAACTACTCTAAAAAATTTTATTAAAATTCGTCAAAAGAATTCAATTATTTAAAAATTTGTTAATAAAATTCTTTATAAGAATTCAATTTTAAAAAACATTCAATTATTCGATAAATAATTTACTTTTGTACTTAAATTATTGAATTCTCATATAATTTTCTAATAAAAATTTCTTTGAAAATGAATTTGAATTTGAAATTTTTGAAAATCTTAATTCCTATGGGATAATTCTCAACAATTTAACTTGTGGCTATGCATTTATATGTTTGTGCCTTCTATTGTCATGTAATTGAATACTGTTTAAAAAAGTAGCAAATTAAAATCATTAATTTTTGATTTTATTTATTAAAAACCTCGCGCGCGCACAAAATAGCTCCATCTGACTACAACATATAAGACTACAATTGGAATATTTATTTATTATTTTCTATATATAGCTTTTTTAAAATCTTCCAGAATTTACACCACATATAGCGAAATTCATTAAAAATTAAATCAACATTATATTACAAGACATAAAATTGTATAAAAAAATAAAAAGTTGATGACAAAGTGTATGACAATTAATTCCCGGAATTAGTGGTCATTGAAAAAAAAGGTATAGAAAAGTGTAAAAGCGATGATAAAGAAATATTGTTAGATTTTGTGATTTTATATAGGGCAATATAATATTGCAGTGATGAGTTGAGCGTGGGGTGGGGGAGTTTTTATTCTGTTTTATACACCTTATAAGTTTTCGTTTTTATCTGGAATTGCGAATGTTGCGTTATAGGCTTTTATTTCATGAACATTGACCGACTATATCACTGTGACGATAGGAAAGGATAACAAGTTACGAGCGCAAACTTCCATCACGCAGCGATCCATCGGATTGTTTATAGTCCCTCATTTCGTAGATAAGAATGTAATTTTTCTTCACAAAGTAGTTTATGTCAGTCGTAAAGTTTTCTAAAGAAAGAGTAATAACGTCACTTTAAGTAACGAATCTTCTTTTTCTTTCGATCAGCTCTTTACAAAATAATAAATTTAATATCCACCCCACAGAACCGAAAATTTATTAAATATTTATTATAATTATTATTTAATTTAAATGTTCTAGCAAGTTTAAAGCTAAACATTCATTTAATCGGGAAATTTAAATTCCATAATTTTCATTAAACTTTGCATTTTAATATTTTAAACATTGAAAGTTAATATTTAATGAATATGTAGAAATTTTTCGGTGCTGGGGTCGATTCTACAACTTTTCCATTTCCCACTCCCACCTACCACTTCCCACTCTCACTTCTCACCTTCCACTTTCTACTCTCACTTCCCACCTTTCACTTTCTACTCTCACTTCCATTCTTCCACTTCCCACCTTCCAGAGAGTAGAAAGTGAAAGGTATGAAGTGAGAGTGGAACGTGGAAGGTGGGAAGTGAGAGTGGTAAGTAGGAATGGAAAGTGAGAGTGAAAAGTAAGAGTGGAAAATGAAAGGTAGGAGTGGAAAGTGAGAGTGGAAGGTGAGAGTAGAAAATGGAAGATGGGAAGTGAGAGTGGAAAGTAGAAGGTGGAAAGTGAGAGTGAAAAATGAAAGGTACAGTACCGTCCGAAATTGTCAGTCCACCCATTTTCAAAGGAATGACAAAAATTTTTTAACATAAAATTCATAAAAAGTAAAATTTTTTTTGGTTTATATTTTGAAAGACGATAAAATTTTAAAAAGAATAAGACCTTACAGAAGTCATTTGGCCAAAATTTGTAGAAGATATTCTTAAAAATCGTCATTTTCAATGTTTTACAAAAATTTGAATAACTTCTAAAATAATGAACGCTTTTTAATAATCTTAGGCTTATTTTAAAGACCATTTTCTACAGAATAAGAATTACTTATAGGCATTAACCTGTAATTTTTAACTTGGAGTAAGCATGACGTCAAAGTTGGACAAAAAAATTCAAAAAATCTGAAATAATATTATTAAAAGAAAAATAATTTTTGAAACTCAAACATATATTTTTATTAAATTTTCTTGAAAAATCTACACCATATCATGTTTTATATATGTTCTAGAATAGTTTTTAGTACAAAAAATTGATTTCAAATTTTTCCAATTTTTTTGTCTAATTTTGACGTCATGCTTATTCCAAGTTAAAAATGACAGGTTAATGCTTATAAGTAATTCTTATTCCGTAGAAAAAGACCTTTAAAATAAGCCTAAGATTATTAAAAAGCGTTCATTATTTTAGAAGTTATTTAAATTTTTGTAAAACATTGAAAATGACGATTTTTAGGAATATCTTCTACAAATTTTGGCCAAATGACTTCTGTAAGGTCTTATTCTTTTCAAAATTTTATCGTCTTTCAAAATATAAACCAAAAAAAATTTTAGTTTTCATGAATTTTATGTTAAAAAATTTTTGTCATTCCTTTAAAAATGGGTGGACTGACAATTGCGGACGGTACTGTAGGAGTGGAAAGTAAGAGTGGAAAATGGGAATGGAAGGTGAGAGTAGAAAGTGTAAAGTGGGAAGTGAGAGTGGTAAGTGGGAATGGAAAGTAAGAGTGAAAAGTGAGAGTGGAAAGTAGAAGGTGGGAAGTGAAAGTGGAAAATGAAAGGTGGGAGTGGAAAGTAAAGTGGAAAGTGAGAGTGGAATGTGGGAGTGGAAAGTGGAAGGTGAGAATACAAAGTGGAAGGTGGGGAATGAGAGTGGAGGGTGTGAAGTGAGAGTGGAAAATGGAAGGTGGGAGTGGAAAGTAAGAGTGTAAAGTGGGAGTGGAAAGTGAGAGTAGAAAGTGGAAGGTGGGAAGTGAGAGTGGAAAGTGTAAGGTGAGAAGTGATCGTGGTAAGTAAGAGTGAAAGGTGAGAGTGGTAAGAGTGAAAAGTGAGAGTTGAAAGTGGAAGGTGTGAAGTGGGATTGGAAATTGAAAATGGAAGGTGGGAGTGGAAAGTAAGAGTGGAAAGTGGAATATATAAATGCATGCATCAATCATATTATAAAGGTGTCACCGTCAGTAAAACGATATTCTCTAGTGCATCGAAGGGTATATTAAGGTTGATTATTTTTTTTCTAGAGTTGAACAAAGTTCACGTAATTTTACATACATAGATTCGAGGTGGCTAGTTTTTTAAAACACGCCGTCTGTTTCTTATGAGCTGCAGCTATGGAAGTAGGTATATATACATATACCTACCACTGAGTCTAATGGTCCTTTACACACCATTTCGTTTCAACATTGCCTGACTTCATGTAACTTGCCCTATTTCGTGCGCACACATACCTTCTCACTCGTAAATTCAATATCAAGATAATTTAGTCTATTTATATTTAATGTGCTTCCGGATCTTAATCCGGAATCCGATCAGTTAAAAGAAAACGTTTTTGCCTACTTGAAAACTTTTTCAATGAAAATGGCGGATCCAATATGGCAGACAAAATTTAAAAATTGATCGGATTTGCTTGTAATTCATTACTCGGGGGTTTCTAAGATCGCTGATTACGAATATAATAATGTTACTTTTTCAAAACACAAAATGGTGTATCTAATACGAATTTTTAAAAATCAACATTAAAGGGTTTAATTTTGACGTTTCTGAAATCATTTAATATTTAATTAATGAGGCCTCTTTTTGTGCTTTAGGTAAAAAATAGGTCAAATATGACTTGTAACGTAATATATGTAAACATATTTTGAAAATAATAAATGGAATAAAAATTTGTTCTCTACTTACAAGAAACAGTGATTGAATGTTAATGTCACTCACCTGAAACAAACAGAAAAAGTATGCGTTATTTTTTATAATAAACACTCCTCAGGTTAAGTTCTAAACAGAAGAGTGTCAACTTTTTCAATTTCTACACTCCTCAGGGTAAATTTAATTATCCATTTTTCTCCGTGTATAATTAAAAAAATAACAAAATAAGGATTCAAAAACGCTATGATGAAACAAAAAAAAATAATTGGATTCCAATACTTTCCTATGACTAAACTTAACTTTTTCCTACAGTATATATTATAATCCCAACAAAAACATCTTTGATACAAAAAGTTCCTCCAAGTAAAAGTTTTTGCAAATGTTCAAATAATAAGTGAAATAAAAGTTTACCAAGTATTTATAACTAAAGTTTTAATATTGAATTGTAATAAAAATAAAATTTAATTTAATGATTAACATAAGCAGGTAATTAGTTATAAATTTTACTTGGTAAACTTTTATTTCACTAATTGTTTGGACATTTGCAAAACTTTTACTTGCCGGAACTTTTTGCATCAAAGATTTTTTTGTTGGGATTCAAATACTTTTTTCATCAATAATTAATATTTATGGGTATTTTATAAACTGTTTAGTACTTCAGGATCTACGTTTGTCTAAAAGTAAAAAAAATCCAATTTTTTAGAGAAAGACTCTAGTATTTAAAAACATTCCTGAAATATAAATTGAGATTTTAACCCATTTTATAATATCTCAGAGTATCTTACACGTCCGTTGAATAGTTTAGTCTCAACGTTTGTCTAAATGTCAAAAAATCCAATTTTTTTTAGAGAATATAATTTTAATATTTCAAAAAATACGAAATGTATTGAAATTTTCTGAAACATATATCGAGATTTTAAACCAATTTTTTGAATTACAGAGTATTTTACAAATCTGTTAAGTAGTTCAGTGTCTGCGTTTGTCTAA